ATGTTTGTGAAGTTATTTTACTAAAGTTGGATTTTCTTGATGATAATAACCATTTTCTTCAGTGTTGTTGTATACATTTATTCATCATGTGCTTTTGTCAACTAATGTAAGCATTATGTTTATCATAGCTATTTCTGATAGTTGTCACAGTAGTTTTAGACAAAAATTTTATGGTGAAAAATCTGGCATTTGAATTGCTGATCATTAAAGTACAGTAGATGTGTTAGACTGGGTTCTTTAGAGAAACAAAAACCAGCAAAGCTTATATATATAGAGAGAGAGAAATTAGGAAAATGGCTCATAAACGTATAGAAGCCGACAAGTCCAAAGTCCCTGGAGGAAATGTTGGGCTGGAGGCAGCCTTAGCTTCCGCAACCACAGGGGGCTGAGAAATTCAAGGCTGGCAGGCAGTACACTGGTTGTTGACTGCCAACGAAAGACGAATCCAAGATCTCCAGGCCGAGCGGTGGGCTGCTCACTGATGGAAGGTTGTAGTCAGCACACCAGGGTCCTGATCCACAAAAGAATGTCTCTCTTCCCAGGATGTCCCTGGATATCCTGGAAGCAGGCCACACCCCTAGGGAAACGCCCCTTGGGCAGACTGGCCACTCAGAACACAGTCATACGATCCCATCATGGGAACAACCACACAGAACTGGGGTCCAGCCAAGTTGACACACAGCTCCAACTATCACAGTAGAGTACATATTTTATTAAAAGGTGTAAAGCTTGATGATAGGACTGTTTTTTCCTTGTATTGTGTAGAGACCTACTACCTAGTTATTTATCTTCAGTCTATTAGGGTATCTGGTTGTAGAAATCGATATACTTAGTGAAAATATTATAGACTATTGGTAATTTTTATTTAAAGATACTTATGTTAAATACTTAAGGAGCTTTGGTGGCACTGTGGTTAAAGCATTGGGGTGCTAACTGAAAGGTCAGCGGTTTGAATCCACCAGGTGCTTCGCAGGAGAAAAATGAGGCAGTCTAAAGATTTATAGCTTGGAAACCCTATGGGGCAGTTCTGCTCTGTCCTAGAGGGTCATTATTAGTTGGAATCGACTTGATGGCAGTGGGTTATAATAAATACTTAGGACCACTGTTTGTGGCCCATCACTTGTCATGTCAGGTGGAATATACAGGAATCAAATCAAGTACATCTGTGGCAAGAGG